ATCGATGCGAAACACACTTGATAAAGTTGTTGGATAATCTGATAAAAATGCTATTATCCGCGGTGCATACCGATGGAACAACCCATACGTTATAAGCGCATCTTTCTATTTACAATTCACATGATGAAAAAGCCCAGGGAAGCCTCCAGTCAATTTGAGGATAATTTCATCAAATAATACTTTCGATTGAACGACTAAACTGTTGTTTGGCGAAGCCGTAACGGTATAATTGCGCATAAATTTCCACTTAAAAATACACCTTCTCAAGCAATTCGGACTATGCGCACACATAATGTAAATGTTCATCTTAACTTCAATGGCGACACAAGATTGTTCCCAGAATAACCCTTACCAGTATACTTTTGATTGAGATAGACGGAAGCCCATTAGTTTATCTCAATTAAACACTAATTTGCATAGCCATTGATATATCTAATGATCGCAAGCCTAATAGCTATGGACACTTCTCACACAGACGGTCAATTAGAAACGAAAATGAGCAATCGAAAAAATTTTTCCCGCAATTTGGCTATTCAGAAGAGATATGAGCAGCTCAACTTTGAAACTGTGAGCACATGGTTAACAGAATATGATCTTTTTTTTGGTTCAAAGTCAGCCTTTTGCCGATTGCCCTGGTGTACTAATTTGAATGATTCACGCTTTTCATTTCGTGCGATGAAATAGTTTCATATTGAGCAATTCACGTAGACTAGAGACATGACTAATTATTGCCCCTTGACTGCAGTTTCATTCGGTAAGCGAAAACAGAAAAGATTTATTCCATATCATCTCTGGCTCATCAGCCATGCATGAGATTTCAATCGCACATAACTCATGACTGCTGCAAGTTATCTGACTTCGTTCTAATTTTTTTCTTGATTAAAAACAACTGACAAATAATGAAATGATAAAGGTGCTTTATGATGTATGCTCTATGATAGCAGTAATCAGCTAACAGTACGAGCAGATTTACAGTCACTTGTGGCGAATTCTTCAAGTGTACCAGTTGAAATGCACAATTAATATGAACGCAAAAGAAACGATTGCAGCAATGAATATCAGATTAGAGTGGAGTGCTTATTTGAATGAGATCAAGGAAAACAGACCGTATGAGATGGAAATAACAATAAAAATTGTTCGCTCACCACTCAAGATTGTCCGGTTGTTTGCCAGAATTCCAAGACTCGCAAAGCGAATGCGTTTTGAAATTCTCATCAAATTTCGTTGTACTGAAGCGATTATGTCGCTTTCCATCAGGGGTAGCAGCGCTGCAAAGGATACATGAAAAGTGTGAATACTTTACAATTTCTTTTCTGGAGAAATATGCATCAATTTTTCGATCCGCTGGGAAATTCGCAGTGAAAAATATGACGCAGAATCGATTGAACTGAAAAGTATCGCTGCTGGATCAGTCGTTAAGCATACACTTCAACGGAATTATTCGCTTCAGGAATGTGAAAAATTCTCAGAGCATACTTGTGAAATCCTTCGAGTGACCAGTGGAATAGCAAAAAATGTTAGCATTTCGGAGAAAAACATGTTAAATGACTCAAACAAGAGAATTTTTTGATCAAAGTGGAGTTGTGGATCGGGAGATCAATTATAGATCATATGTGACGAGTGCATGAACATATTGCTTCTCACCAGTTTCTAGTGATTCAAGCAATTAATCATGAATGCATGTACTTTTAAAGGAATCATTCATCGCATCCGAATGACAGCATCAAAAAAATGCGACATAACTGACAACTAAAAATAAGGTAATGAATTTTCGATGACTGTCTACACGATATAAAAAGAAAAATCGAAAACGTAGTATGCAGAGAATCGATCCCGTATGAGTCAGTTAGTAAGAGCGAAGAAATTTTGGATGTGTTCGAAAATTTTGATTTATTGTCGAAGAAGGTGAATGAAAAATGACAGTTAGTGTCCAGGCAAATGAATGCTTTCGAGAAGATTTTCAGCTAGGGAAAGCAATGACGAATTGAATCTCTTTTATGGTCGTTAAGATAGGAACAGTTGAGTTGCAGGCCAATGCGCACTTATTTCGTAGTCTAAGCCCTCAATGATGATTAAAAATTGCAACAGTATCGTGTGGAACTAAAAATAGTTCGCCACGCTTTGACCAGACTTAGCCTGTTTAGATCTGAAAAGATTTTTAGCAGAGGTGGGCAACAGCGCACTATTGCCCACCTCTGGTTTTTTGAGATATCAATTTTTGTAATGAAGCCGAGGATGCAATGACGAACTCTCGAAGTCGTGGGACGAAATTGTTTCAGAGAAATTGAATTTGCAAAGCAATTGAACTGAAGTTTGTTGCAACGATCCCCGAATAATGTTATTTTGATTTCGTTTCATAGGTTCTTTTTACCGTGCACACGTACATAGGCAAAATGTATAAGTATTTTTAGAAGAGGAATTTCCAAGCAGATGTGGGCCAACTGAATATTATTAGGCAACATCTTTGCGATGATGTATGAATTTTTTGAAGCGAAAGCTTGTGTGTTATGTTTGGTCCTTAGTGTAAATTTTATTTTTAGGAAATGAAATGAATGGAAACTTCATGTTCTGAAATTGATGTGTTCAGTGTACTGAATCTCTTAATTTGAATCTGATTTGTTGACGCATACGTATCGTAAGAATTGTTGAGGATGGATGAAACTGATTGTGAGGAATTTCTTTGCTCATTCAAAAAAAAAAACGATGAAAATCATAATTTTATGTCTACTTACCCACCGATGTGTGCCGCACCATCGCCAACGAATGAGCGATGCGATTGTGTACTACGAGCGAACTGCGCCGTATAGGTGTGCAGTTGCTCCTCAACACCCATCTCCTGCAATAGGTTTGGCTGAAACTGTTCATGGATAGTCAGCAATGGATTCAGAATTAAGTTAATATATCACAAAGTGGCTGCTGTCAAGCTTGTTGATACGTTCAAAATTTTGTTTCATAATCATTTCAAACTTAGAACTTCGTTTCAAGCCGTATTTAGGATACTATCAGAAAACATATTTACAATAATTGTTTAATGCTCTGCAAACGAAAAAGAACACATAATCCTTATGGCATACCAACACACCGACTAAAATTAGTTCCTTAAAATCGGTCGAGTGGTTGCCCGATTGAGTGGTTGGCATTGTCGACGCTAGAAAGTTACACACAGCAAAAATGCATAACTCAACTCAAAATAACCACATCCATAAAATCTCGTTCATTTCAAAAAAGCCCCATTGAGTGCATTTCGATGGGAACCACAGTTCTCAGTTGGCACGAAAAAACAATGAATCAAGTATAAAGCGGGCGTAATTGCGATATTTGCTGTTCAGATAAAAAGCGGAGCAGAGTGCAAATTGTTGAGTGAGGATTAAGCGAGAATCACTTGAATCACTCAATGTCGAGTGAATTCTTAAGCGAATCCATAAGGATTATTGTTTACTCATTCAGCGAGAATGCTCATCAGCAATGAATCAATAACAGTTAAAATGTCAAAGTTCCTAATCTTCGATGTTAATTCACCATTCCACTCGACTATTCTCACAAAAATCATATTTTCCAATGGAATTTAGATTACAGCAATGTGCGACAAGTTTCTTGACTTGCGATTAGTTCGAGACACTCAGAACTCGAAGTAATTTTAAAAAGCATAAGGATTTAGAAACTTTAGCTGGAACGGAATTCTATGAGATAGATATGAAATTCCGACCGATTCAACTGGCTGTCAATTAGCTTGCATGCTAAAATGGGCCAGTTGGGGATAGCAATCGATTGGATGATCGAAGGGATGAAAGCCGTGAAATGTATCAATCTTCCGGATACAGTCTAGCTAACCTTTTCCATAGTACTGAGTATTTGAGATATTTTCGCGTCACTCTGACTGAAATGACCCGAGTCATGCGTACGTTTCGAGTGATCAGCCACGAGCGTTGATTTGATATCACCGTGTAGAGAGGATTGTGTCGCAGCCACCCAAAACCTCATCAACAGAATAAATATATTATTTAAAATCATTTCGATCTTCACCATTGATCATCCACATCATTCACATTGATTGAGATCTATCTGAAATTCTCTTGAACTTTCAAGGATAGATATTTTCTTGAAAGCATTGCCCATCAATAAGGCCGAACGACATGATTACGTGAACTGTATGGTCCATCTTTTTTACTAATCTTGTAAGCGATCAACAAATATTCCGTCAAATTATCGTAATATTCCAACAGAGTGAGACGCCGCTAATCACAGCGGTGTGCACCATATAGCAAATTGTCGTAACAAAGATATATTTATACTTACAACAGTTTTAGATGGAAGCTTAAAATAAATGGCCGATAGCATCTTACTATAAAGTTAGACTCGAATAGTATGAATGAGTGACCAAACTGAATGACAAAATCGATATCTGAGGAGTATGTGGTCAATTCTAATGATCGATGATTTGGTTTTTAGTGAAATAAATTTTGTGCTCAAATGTATTTCGAAGTAACATACGCGAGTTCGTTTGCGGCATCCAAAATGCACGCTAAGATCAAAGCTCTCCTAAATCACAAAGAACTGCTTTCAGCCATCTTCGGCCGGGAATATTTAGCTCGATGCAGCTCCAGTACTTACAGTTAGTATCTGTTTAAAGGCCTACTGACACATTACTAATTCAAAACTTTTTCCATACAGATCAGCTGTGAAACGGCAAAGTTTATTTGAAGAACGATTGAAAAATAGCGGAGATTCGAATCGGCAAATGAAATTTAGCGTGATGTCAATAGTTTTTAGTGATGTAGCGTTGGTAACAAGGATAGATTAAACTGTGCCTTTCGTGACACCATT